AAAAATTAGGATAAGGCTAATTTCTACCTCTACTGGGAAAACTTAATTTGTAAAAGTGTAAGCATTTGGTAATCCTTACCAAAGCTCTATGAAACAGATATTATCATCCCTATTTTATAGGTGAGGAAAATGATATTCAAAGAGAGATAAAGAGGGCGCCTGGGTGGCTCAGTTGGTTAAGCAACTGCCTTCGGCTCAGGTCATGATCCTGGAGTCCCAGGATCGAGTCCCACATCGGGCTCCCTGCTCAGCAGGGAGTCTGCTTCTCCCTCTGACCCTCTTCCCTCTCATGCTCTCTATCTCTCATTCTCTCTCTCTCAAATAAATAAATAAAATCTTAAAAAAAATAAAAAAAGAGATAAAGAGCTTTGCCTAAGGTCACAATGCTAGTAAATGGTAGAGCTGGGATGGGAATCTGGGTCTGATAAAGCTATAGTCCTAGGTGCTGTGGAGATGTGAAGGAGACTATGGACGGTTCCTGCCCATCAATCTCTCATCCCAAGTTGAGTACTCAAAGGCCAAGAAGTGACATCTACTTTTGGATGAGCTGTTGGTCATAGGCCATCAAATCCCTGCTGTAGGGGAGGCAGGATTGCGTCTAGTGCCCTCTAGGGACAAGAGCACCAGGAGAGTGGGCCCTCTAGCAGGAGTCCTTATCTTACTGGGTCTCCTGAAACCAAGGAACTGTTGGGCAGGGGCAACCATTCCTGACAGATTAGGGTCTGGCAAATTGATACTCACAACCACAACTATAGAACATTAAGTATGAACTGCTTCTAGTACTCATGCTTTTGACTTTCTCAGGCTGAGGTTAACCCTAGGGACCTCTGGTCTTTGTTGGGAGACCTCAGCCTGCTGCCCAGTACTCTGGCAATAATTATATACAATTATAATAAATAGTCATCATTTACTAAGCACCTAAGACTTTACATATGTCATCTCATTTAATTGTATAACCGTCCAGCAAATTAGATAATCCTATTCCCATTTTACAGATGAGGAAATTGGGGCTCTAGGAGATATGCCATTTAAGTAAGTTCATGCAGCTAGTAAAAGTTAATAACAATAGGTAACGTATATTTAACACTTACCTTCTGCCAGATTCCAAGTTGCAGCAGACTCTGTTGGTTACCCACCCAACAATCATCCCACCTTCATGCTCACAGAATCCTAATTTTGCTCAGATATCCATCCCTCAGGAAAAGGGACTCTATCTCCAATATGACTGCCCAAGCCAGTCATTGTGATCTATTCCCTTTTGTTTGTGATTGGATTAAATCACTTGAGACCCAAATCCAGGCAAAGATATGGGAGGGCCATCAGTGAGGAAGTAGCATAGGTAAAGACTTGGAGGGGAGAGACAGGGAAATGTTTTCTCAGTCTTAAAAAACACAAAAGAGGGTTGCCTGGGGTGGCTCAGTCGGTTAAATGACCAAATCTTGACCTCAGCTCAGGTCTCCATCTCAGGGTTGTGAGTTCAAGCTCTGCGTTGGGCTCCACACTAGACGTGGAGCCTACTTAAAAAACACAAAAACAAACACAAAAGAAAGAGATGACCCTCTTCTTTTGCATATTGTAGTGTTTGGATATGATGCCCGGAACTGTGGCAGTCATCTTATGATCACAGGGAAAGCCAGCCTAGGAGCGTATCATTCTGGCTGGAGTATTTGGTGTTTATAGTGGGAGACAGGCCTAGAAAAAGCATTTGGCGTATTCCTGGGAGAGGCCCAAATGCCAGGGCAGGTGACTTGGTTTGAATTTGGTGGAAAATGAGGCGCCAATGAAAGCTTTTCATCAGAAGTGTGACATGTTTAGCATTATGCTTTAATGTGCGTTAATTCAGCAGGTACAAGCAGAACTGATGTGGGAAAAGATGGGGAGTGGGGAGTTCAATTTAAAGACTTTGGGGGTCCCTTCCCCTTGACCTCCTCATGAAGGCACTGCTTGCCGACTAGCAGAGCCCAGATGTCTGGCATACCACAGAAACGCAGCTTCAGTGGCTTGTGAAGAAACTCACACCTCACTCTGAGGGTTTCTGCCTGGCTCAAGACTCACACATGTCATGGTGTACACAGCAGAGGTGCTGACAGAGCCAGAGGACCGGGATCAGTTACACAGGGAGAGGAGGTAAGACTGCCAGAGCCGAGCTGCAGAGAATCATCACTGAAAACAAGAGGCCCCAGAGGAGCCCAAGGCAGTCTCTTCTCACTCAGCCAGCTGCAAGGAGCTCAGAGCAGGAGTTCCAGGCTCTTGGAAGGCTGGAGGCCCTAGCTGCCTGGGAGTGCACTGCAGCTACATAGGATGTGAGGACCAAGGGGGAGTTCTAAAGTCACCCTGTTACTAAGAAGCTGGGCCAGTTCTGCGTGATGACTGGGAGCACCTTGTCTTCTGGCTCTGGATCTGGAAGTGAGGGCACAGCATTTCCTCTGTGTTGTCACTGGCTGCGGAGAATTCCTGCCATTAGCTGTTTGTGGGCCATGGACAAGCCCTTTTCTGAGTCCCCTCAATTTCTTTCTACTTGATTCATCACCTATTTGAGGCTCTGAGAGTCAGCATGGGCGTCTCTTTGACAAGCACTAGGCAGACATGTACATGTCTCCTACACCTTCTTTAAGACTAACACTCTCTGCACATTCCTCCTTGATGGTCTGTGAACACTGCGAGGTTTTATAAAAAGTCAAGCGGCCCCATGAGGTCATCACTCTATGTCACAAACCTTGCAGGTAACGTAAATGAATGAAGGGGGCTGAGTTTAGGTGAAAATTGCAGTCCTCCAGCAGATACATTTGTTTCTTCACTTCCACAAGAAACACGCTATTCCCAGTTTTTGGAATGCCTGGCTCTTGGGTCTAAACTCCACTTCCCCACTTTTCACAGAGAGCCAGGTATTAAGAAATATTTCTCTCCTTAAAGAAAAACAAGAGCGCAAGTATGATGACAAAAGTGTGGTGGAGACGAGCGAGTTACAAAGCACATATGGTGGGCCCCCCCCAGCTGGGTCAGTTGGTAGCGCATGTGACTCTTGATCTTAGAGTTGAGAGTTCAAGCCCCACATTGGGCAGAGAGTTTACTTTAAAAAATAAATAAATAAAAATAAAAGATCCACTCTTTTTTTTTAAGATTTTATTTTATTTTATTTTATTTTTTAAAAAGATTTTATTTATTTATTTGACAGAGAGACACAGCGAGAGCAGGAACACAAGCAGGGGGAGTGGGAGAGGGAGAAGCAGGCTTCCCGCTGAGCAGGGAGCCCGATGTGGGACTCGATCCCAGGACCCTGGGATCATGACCTGAGCCGAAGGCAGACGCCTAACTACTGAGCCACCCAGGTGCCCAAGATTTTATTTTTTTTTAAGCAATCTCTACACCCTATGTGGGGCTCAAACCTACAACCACAAGATCAAAAGTCAATGCTCCACCAACTGAGCCAACCAGGTGCCCCTAAAAGATCTACTCTTTTTAAAAAACAGCAACAACAAAAAAACAAAAGCATGTATGGCATCTAACAAGGATGCAGAACTCTCAGCTCATATGAGAGTGAGAGCCCAGTATGGCCAGATCTTCTGATTTTTCAACAGAAACTGGAGATCCAGAATTTCGTGTGAAATCTCCCAATTTTACAATGTTGGCTCATTTCCTTCCACTTCCCAACCGTGCTTGCATACTCTTCCCACCACACCAGTACACCTGCAGCCTCCCAGACCCTGTCCCTCCTGTCTTCACACCTCTGCCTTGTGGGTTCTGTCTGCAACACACGTCCTCCCTTTCTGTGCCTGGGAATCTCTTAAGCAATTTCTCAAGACTCAGATCAATGTATACTTCCTTCTCCTTGTAAGATTAGGTGCTCTTCATTCTTTCTATGCTCCTACCATTCCCTGAACATCCCTCAACAGACCTCTTACCATACTGTCCTGGAATTGCTGGTTTCCCTGTCTGTTTTTCACCAGACTGAGAATTCCCCGAGGGCAGGGACTTTCATTGTCTCTGACCTGAGAATCTCGGGTAGGATGGTGGGAAACACGCCAAGAAAGGGAAAATAGTTTACTCAAAGGGGAAAAGAAAAATTCAAGCAAGTTAAGAGAGCCGGGGGCTTGAACATTTAAAATAATAGGTCCAAGAGGTGACGGCAGGTGATAAACAGAAAACAAGCCCAAGAGCCAGGAATCAGGATGATTAAAACAGGTTGGGGAGTGGAATGGTTTAACATAGAAGCTGTGGATGAGGTAAGGGTGTCTGGAGCCTATTTTTACAGAGGGTACTGAATGTGATAGGGACACAGGTGGGTCTCACTGCCTTAATGTCTTAGTATTGGGTTCCACTGTTGTTAGCTTGATAGTCTGGTGCGTTCTCTTCTCCATTCCAAGGATTCATCCTCAGCCAGCATTTACTGAGCATTCTGTGTCAGGCACTGTTAGGCACCCTAACTATAGAGCAGAATCAGATATGATCCCTGTCCTCAAGCTTGTGGTCTGGTGGACACATAAATAGATAATGACAAGAAAATGAAGTAAATGCTACAACTGAGAGAAGCACAGGGGGCTACAGTAGCACAGAGGAGGGATTCCTGATCCATTAAGGTCCGGAAATTGTAATTTACCTGAGGTCATACAGCTGGAAGGGGGGGCGAGGGGGGGCGCAGACCCAGGATTAGAACCCAGGCCTGTCAGACTTAAAAGCCCACTCTTTCTCATCGTAGAAACTGGGAGAAGACAAATGGCTTTATGGCGATGGGGGGAAATTTATGTGTGCCGGCTTAGTTAAGTGGCAAACTGCATGGTTCTAGGTTAAAGTTGGTTTAAAAAAATAGTTGTTTGAGGGGTACCTGGGTGGCTCACTTGGTTAAGTGGCTGCCTTCAGCTCAGGTCATGATCTCAGGGTCCCGAGATTGAGCCCCTGCTTGGTGGGAGGTAGGCCTCTCCCTCTGCCTCTCCCCACTGCTCGTGCTCTCTCTCTTGCTCTCAAATAAATAAATAAAATATCTTTTTTTTTTTTTTTTAAAGATAGTTGAGATTTGGGAAGCAGAAGTGAATCAGCAGCCATTGATCACTGAAGTCATGGACAGATGTGGAGGTGCCATCCAGCTTGTCTTCACTCTCCTCCACTCTATACCCAGACTCTGCTGGTCAATAGAAGCTCCAAGCCCACCACCAGACCCCTGGTTATGGACCCACAGCCTTCTCCTGTAGACTTCTCTATCGGTGCCCCCTTCACAGCCCCCTGTCAGCTGGATGTGCTTGACTTGTGGGATTGACTGGTTGGTGACTCCCCTGATCACCCCCCTTTCAGAACCACACTGCCCCAGCCCCTCTCGCAATTGTTTAAGTTCTAATTTCTATAACAAATCCCTTATGCCACAACTCATAGTAATTCTACTTCCTTAGCTGAATGCTGACTGAAATACTGTGCTTTCCCCAAAGATGAAAATAATTGAGTGGAGGGAAGAACAGACTAAGTTCAGAAGTCTAGCTTCACCAGTAACTCCATGACTCCAATGTCCCTGAACTTCGTAGTTCAGTAAATATTTGTTGAATTAAATTTTTAGCTTGCTTCTGGTTCTTCATTGGTACAAATATAATTGTACAGAATAGTTTCTGGGGAAGAGATTTTTTAAATTGTTTTGTTTTGGGCGCCTGGGTAGCTCAGTCGTTAAGCGTCTGCCTTCGGCTCAGGTCATCATCCCAGGGTCCTGGGATCGAGCCCCGCATCGGGCTCCCTGCTCGGCAGGAAGCCTGCTTCTCCTTCTCCCACTCCCCCTGCTTGTGTTCCCTCTCTCGCTGTGTCTCTCTCTGTCAAATAAATAAATAAAATCTTTAAAAAAAAATAAATAAATTGTTTTGTTTTTCCTTCTTTTAATTCTTTCCCTAAGATCAATGAGAAGGTTTGGAGTCATTTATGGCTCAGGCTCTGAAATTCTGACCTGGGACAGTATCTTTTGTGTTGGCTACATGTGTTCTTCATCTCCTGGGGTACAATAGATTTTCCTCCGGCTTCGATTTCCCTCTCTCTCCCTCACCTTCTGTCCCTTGCAAAATCAGAGAAAAACCTCACTCTTGTGTATTTTCTCCAAAGAAAGTATTTCACACTCTAATCAAATCAGCCAAAAAAGATATTGGGTTACCCTCATGGGAATGCTCTTCTGGCCTGGCTGAGTTGGAAGTGGGAGAAACAAAGACATCTGGAAGTGGAGGACAGACAGCAATCAACTTTGTGAACCACTTAATTGCAGGGGAATTTCCTTCTTGCTACTTAGACCATTCAGCACTTGTAAAGAGAAGACATGTTACACGTTGACTTCGCCTCCTGGAAAGCTGGGTTAAATGTTGTTCCAATTAGACAACCATTTATGGAATGTCTGTCCTAAACTAGTCCCTATGCTAGTTGTTGGAGATACTGCTCTTGAGGTGTTTTCAGCCAAAGTGGGAGGGGAACACGGTGAGTTATAGCTCAAGTCAGCCTATAATAAGTGCTAGAAAAGAGGCATAAACAAAGCACTACGGTACAGAGGAGAGAGCAGATATATCTGAGGATATAATTGGCAGTGGGGAGGGGGAAAAAGTGCTGAAGAATGTATAGGCAGAGGGAGGCAACATTTTTTAAAAAAAATATTTTATTTATTTTAGAAAGAGAAAGAGAGCTTGGAGAGGGGCAGAGGGGGAGGGAGAAGGATAAGCAGACTCCATGCTCAGCGCTCCTGATGTGGGGCTGGATCCCATGACCCTGAGATCATGACCTGAGCCAAAACCAAGAGTCAGCTGCCCAACCGACTGAGCCACCCTGGTGCCCCGGGAGCCAACATTTTTTTTAAGCATGAACCTGTTACAGAGGAAGGTGAACAAGGGGAGAGGCTAACAGTCACTGATTATCTACTTTGTGCTGCCCACTGAGCTAAAACTGTACTTACGTTATCGCATTAACCTTTCCCAAAACCCATCTGGAGGAAACTGAGGCACAAAGAACTGAAGTAATTCGCTCAAGAACTTGAAAGAGGTAGAATTAGGATTCAAACCCAGATCTGTTTGACTTCCAAGAACAGTCCCTGCTCCCATCTGTGCATGGAGAATTATTTTCAAAAGATCTTTGAGATGGACTATAAAGAATGAAGATTTTAATAGACTTCAAAAGGCCAGAGGGTGCGAGAAGGGATGGCATAAAAGCATTCCAGAGGAAAGATGCGAGAACAGCCTCAGGGCATGACATGAAGGTGCAAGGTTTGTCTCGAGAAGCTTAGGCAGTCTGGAGTGACTGTGGGAAGACACTACCACATGCCATACCACTGTCTTCTCGGGTTCCACGTGTCATTCAGTAATTTACTCAACAGTGCTGGGCATTCAGAACTCAACCTCCGTTCTTCAAAGTCCGTAATCAGTCTGGTGAGATTAACTGCTATTACCACAGACTGCCTTGTACGCTTCAGCTCAGGGTGTGTGTCTCTGTTGGGGGGGGGGGTACATATTCATACAAGCATTGTTAGGACCATTTCCTTCCCACAATCATTTCTCAACAAATACATTCCCTAGGCTCTCCATAAGCAAGCGTTCCTTTATTACCTCCTTTAGCAAGGCTTGGATTTGAACTGCTGGCCTTGATGTGGTAAGTTTAAAACTCATAGCATCTCAGCAAGTGCCCTTTCAATCCAAGAGACACCTGATCTGGTCTTCCACGGGCTCACTTAGAAAATAATGATCAATCCTAGGGTTGCAAGGAAAAGATCTTCATTGGAACTGACAAGAAAGCAGACACCTTGTACCATTTCTCTGCAGACTTCACAAGTGTTCAACACTTCTTGAAAGAGAATGTGGTTCCCAAGGCTTTCGCTCAGCTGGCTGGAGCACAGTTTAAAAAAATGCATTTCATCTCTGGCAAATCACAGCAAAACATCATAAACAGCTGGAAACTCTCTGAGGTGAAGACAAGTTGGATATTATGTTTGGATTTATAGCCCCCTCCCCCATGATAGCTGATTTCCATTTCCGACAGGGTTATTATTTCCATCTTTATGAAATATCTTGGATCTCACCTTGGATAATTACTGATTATCATCAGCTCCTCACCTGAGGCACTTTAGCATTTGGGTGAACCTGAAAAATATATATATCTTTTCAAAAATATGTACTAGGGAAAACTCAATGTGTGAGATTATGTCTTTATTTCTATTTTCATTTGTAATTCCCTTTGGTTTTCTAATGATCAAGTCATTAATCAGTGTCAAATCACCATCCAGAGCACAGACAGTATTTTTGCCACTTGGGTTCCAATGTGGATTAAATGGCAATAACTTGTGTTACTCAGTCTGGTGCTCTCTCATTACTGTGGTAATCACGGACCCAAAAAACCTTGAGGGTATTCATAAGATCTCAGCAGCCATCTAAGGTTTTTAGTCAAAGGTGTACATTACAATCTTCTGAAATTTGATAGAGCTCCCTAAGTTAGTCCAACAAGTACTCCTAGTTGAGGACCACTAAGAATCCAACATCCTTCATTTCACTCCTTGATGTTGCCATTCTATGTGTCCCTTTATATTTCCAACCTTTGCTTCTTATTTCCTCTGCTGTGATACCCTTGATACCCCCTCCCCCACTTCTCTGCCTGGTAAAATCCTGTTCACTCAAGAGGCCCAACCCAAATGCAACCTCTGCTATGAAGCCTTCTGTGATGACAATCTTTTTCTCCCTGATCCTGTAACACTTCTTAAACACCTTTATGAACATTCTGTGTTATCATGTTCTCCTATGGTATATAGAGCTATCTGCATATGTCTAACCTCCCCCACTCAACTGTGAGCTCCAGAATAACGGTGGTACCTTATTCATCTTCGTATCTCCAAGGCATGGCATGGGCCTAACACTCAGTCAGTGAATGAATGAGGAGGTGGATACCCAAAAGTAGACCATACATTGGCCCATTTAGTCAGATCCGGGCTTCCTCGGTATTTCTTGACTGAGTTGCTTACAAAAAAAGATGTGCAAGGATGTACAAGGCAAGGACCTTTTAAAGGGACATATTAGGTTTTTTTTAAAAAATATTTTATTTATTTATTTGAGAGAGAGAGAGAGAGACAGACAGTGAGAGAGGGAACACAAGCAGGGGGGAACGGGAGAGGGAGAAGCAGGCTCCTGGCTGAGCAGGGAGCCTGATGCGAGCCTTGATCCCAGGACCCTGGCAGATGGCAGAGCCGAAGGCAGATGCTTATCGACTGAGCCACCCAGGCACCCCTATGATATTAGTTTTTACTATCCTTTTAAAAACATCACTTTCCCAACTAAAGTGATAATAGCTCCTTTAAATTAGTAATGAAAGGCTGGATATCAACTTGAACTTGAGGATTTGTTTTCAAAGGAAAACAGACAATCGCAGAAAAATCTAAATCTTAATTGATTGGTGCAGTGTAGGAAATGTTAGCCTGAAAATCATGAGACCTGCCCTTGGTTCCTGTATGATTGTGTAAGTTACTTCTTCTCTCGGGGTCTCAGATACCTCTTCTGTAAAATGGGGCATTAAACAGAGTACCTCTGAGGTTTCTGCTAACTCTGGATTCTATGACCTTAACCAGAATCATTAGTAAAAGTGATCTAGCAGCTTATTTTGATTCTATTCCATAGTACTTAGGAGAATGGACTATTCTTATTAAGATGCTAAGGAGTTTTACAAAATGCATTATTAAATCATAATAATGACAGAAATACCTAAGAGGAAACTTGAAAAATAAAGGAAAAGTATGTATTAGGGAAAAAAAAGTGCTACCACTCTAGTAAGTTATGGTTTTGGCATGTTTTGTGCCATATTCTTGGTTAGAACAGTCAGGGTCACCTAGGTTGGCATGTTTTCTTCCATTTTTCTCATATTTAATGTGTGTTCTTTTATATATGTGTATGTATATACATGTAAGTACATGCTTTTCCACTTAAGCATATTCCTTGATGTTAACTATTTGTAATTTTCATTTTAAATGACTACATACTGAGTAGATATGTGGGATATGCAAATACTTTTATTGCAACATAATTGTTATCAGTTTTTTGATAGCATTGAAATTAAAATCTCTGTAAATGTAACTTTTTGAATTATTTTGGATAATAATCATCCACATTTTGGATTATTCCTACAAATGGGAATCCTGTATCAAAGGGTATGGACATTTTTATGACTCACACAGTGCCCTGCCTTATTTTAATAAGCATCTGTGAATTTTGCTGTGCAGTACCCTATTTTTCCTAAGGGAGCCAAGCCCACCCCCACCCTACTCCACGTACTTTGGAATAACTGATTTTGCCACTCGGCTTCTTCCTTTCCAAAGAGTAACATGCAGATAAGGCCTGACAAATCAGGGTATTACATTCCCCTGGCCACAGTTTAGGGATGGGCATGAGACCCAGATGGAGCCAACAACAGAGCAAGACTTTTAATAAGATTGTTGGAAGATATGGCATGTGCTTTTCTGCTGAGGCTGCAATCAGGGTGGATGTTAGAAGCCTGGAACTGCTGGGGGTCAACACATGGAACCTGAGAATGAAGCCAACACAGTAGGACAGAGCTGAGGGATGGAGATACTCTAGATTCGGTAATGCCTGTAGCCAGAACTATTCTAGGACTTACTTTTAAGTAAAGTGAACCAAAAATTTTCATTGTTCCTTAAACC